TAATCCTCCCATCTGACTTAAGATGCTCAGTATTGGATGTTCGCGTTACGAGATGTGCAGAGCTATTAGCCAATCACCACCTTGTTGTTGATACGCTACGCTGCAAGAAATGGAGTACCATGCGAAGATCCGGTGGCAGAAGCAACCGGAGAATCAAATGGGAAACATTCTGCGGATACAAGGGCGAAACTTGCAAGCAACTTCGCAAGAGCGGTTTACTTGGAGCTGATGCCAAATGTCGAGCTTTTAATACGGGTTCACCTACCGCCTAGAGGCCAGAGATGAACTTCCCGATGGACACGAAAAGTTTAGCCAAACATCATCGAGAGGAAGGTTGAATTCAAGAATTAGCTTGGAAATAAAAAGCCTTCAACTAGAATGCAGTCGGAAGAGACGCACAAAGCCGCAGCAAAATCGTTGGCTAAGGGGAAAGCTGATTTATAGGAAATGTTTGTTGAAACGTAGGAGTCGAATTTAAAGATAGCAAACAAGATATTCTTGGAGACCATTCGCCGCCACCGAGATTGAAAGGGGAACAGTCTAAAAGTCCGGAAGGACGCCATCTTATTTAGGATGCGGTCATATTTCGACGATGGAGAGTGCCTTGAGAAACTCCTTAATCTCGAGCAACCGCGGAAAGATTAGCCTGAAGAGCAGCAGGCAACCGATAATAGCATTACATTAACTGAAGTCGCAGAAGCTGTAAAGGGCTTGAAAAGTGGCAAGGGTGCTGGAATCGATGAAATTGCTTTAGAATGCTCAAAGTTATAGGCGAACGAGACATGTTGCTAACACATGCCATTAAAACTGCAGTGGCTACGGGAGGACCCAAGTGGACTGGAGAAATGAGGTTGACGTACCTCTGTTCATGAATGGAGACCATAGGGATTTCTCCAGTAATGGGAGCATTACCTTACTGATCCTCCGGGAAAAGTCTACGCGAAGGTGTTAGAAAAAGATCCTGCGGAAGAACTGACTATGAAATACAGTAAGGGTAGTGCAGCTTCAGGTCAGGCTGAAGTACCTCTGACTAAATCTTCGCCTTACGCCAGATTGCCGAGAAGTCGTAGGAGCTTGCTCATTTGGTGCATGTACTTTGTAGACCATTATGGAAACATACTGGATCGATAGAAACCTGTCATTGTTGCCTTGATCTTCGCCAAAGCTGCACTCGGTTCCTTCTCCTATTTGCGTTATGCCTGGATAAAAGTAGTCAGGCGTAGCCAGGGTGACGAATATACTGGCGTAAGAGATGTGGAGATGAGAAGGTTTCAGATAGCAGATGAACTTGTTTTGTCGCCATACTCTGAAACTGAATTGCTGCGCTCTCTGAAATGTTTTGCAGGTAAGTGCCATGTAAACGGCATGCGTATGAACGTGTCTAATCTGAAGTGCTTCATGCCTTGTCGTTCTCCTGCCAGTTGCGTTAGACAGATAAAGGAAGAAACAGTAGAACAATCTGAGAAGTTCATGTAATTCTTTCTCGTGTTTAATGGTAGTAAAAAATGCAAAGAAAAGATCGACTGATGAATTGGAATGGCCAACGTCGGAACCGTTGTAATTAAGCAGAGCTGAGTCTGAAGACTAAGTTCTTTGTTCTGAAGGCCATATGTATCCAGATGGTCACCTGCGCTAACAAGTCGTGGGTAATTATTTAAAACTTCGATTCAGGCTACATGTGGCTGAACGATCTTTCTGAGACGCATCGCTGTGCTTGCGCCACTTGACATATCCTGGAGTAGAAACATCTGAGAGAGCTTCGGTGTACAGCCGCTGGTTCTGCAGATTTGAAAAGCTGTTGATACGATGATTCGGGTACGTCTTGCGAATACTTTCAGAACGGAATACGAAACAATTCCTATGTGTTCAATCGACCAGCCGAAAGCCCTGGAGACGGCCAGGGATAACTTGGGACAAGTGTATCGGAAGGACTCTGCTCTAGATTGAGATGAGCTTATGAATAAGTTCAAATGCTGGCACAATGTCGGGGACGTTGGAAACATTGTCTGACGGTCTTTCACTAGAACCCG